ATCGTATTTCTGCAAGAATCATTTCGATAGACCTATTGGTCTCGAAGATATCGGCCGAAATCTATAACAACCCAAAAATGTTTATCACAAAAAAGTATTTTGCTTTTTATTATTTTAGAAAAAAATATTACATAAAACACGTTCGGTCTTTTTATAGTTATAATTGCGGTTAATCACATACTATAAGCGATTTATCTACTATTCCAATCATCACGGCATTTTTTCGTGGGTATTTTCTCACATTTACATTCAATACATTCTCCATCGTATTTCATTTAATATTTGGTATTTTCTCGTCCTAATCTTAAGATGAGAGTATTAAACATAGTCATTGCGGCTTCAAAACATCCCAAATATGTTTAGAATAATAAAAAAGAGGTTTTGCAAAATACAACGCGAGGACAGAACCTTAAAAACTATTAAAACCAAAATCCGACAAACAAATTATTAAAAAAAAAAATTTGCGAAACCCAATTTTTCTGACTTTGAAATTTGTATGGTCCAATAATATTGATCTAGGAACCAATATATGCAATGGAAATACCAATAAGGGGGTCAGATTCAAAGATATGAACAGTTCTAAAGCAATAGTAATAAAAAACAATACATGAAGTTGGGAGAAAACATCATTATTCGCCAAATCCTATTGTCTTTTGAAAAACTGTGGTTGCTGATGTCGAATACGCATTCTATATTTTATCTCCGATTAACACCATCAGTTGCGAATAAAATGCAGTAGGGAATAAACGTGTTGATCTATTTATTTTCGAAATAAGATTTATTTCTATTGCCAGAAAACCGTCCAAACCTTTGAATCTGACCTCCTTATTGCTATTTACATAGTATATTTTGGTTCCTAGATCAGTAATAATGAACCATAAAGTTTTCGAAGTTAGAAAAATTGGGTTTCGCGATATTTTTTTAAATAATTTGTTTATCGGATTTTGGTTTTAATAGTTTTTAATGTCCTGTCATCGCGATATATTTTGTAAAACATCCTTTTTATTATTCTTAACATATTTGGGATGTTTTGAAGCCGCGACGACTATATCTAATACACTGATTTTGAGATTAGGACGAGAAATTTCCAAATATTAAATGAAATATTGCTGGTGAATGTATTGAACGTAAATGTGAGAAAATACTCGCGAAAATATGCCGTGGTTCATTGGAATCGTTGCCAAATCACTTATAATATGTCGTTACCCGCAATGGTAACTATAAAAAGACCAAACGTGTTCTATGTAACAATTTTTTCTAAAATAATATTAAAAAGCAAAATACTTTTTTGTGATAAATATTTTTGGACATGGTGTCGACCTTGGGAACCTGTTATCCAATTATTCACCCATATGCCGACTATAGGAAAATCTAAAAATTGTTTGTTCCTAAGGACGGCATCGATAAAAATGTCCTAATTACAAATATTTTTTAATAATTTTAAATGCTAAAGCTTTCTTCTGTATGTTCTGTACAAGTACGAAAATGATCCCAGTTGTACAAAAAATATCAATTGTCTGCTATTATATAGTTATATAGCTAGTTACTTGGTGATCTAGTTACTTCATACCCCAAAAAGGAACACAAAATATACTGTTGGATTTTTTGTCAACTGAAAAAGTTGTTTACACACATCATACCAATTCAGTAGTTACTGGTAATGCAAAGGGTAATGAATCGACTATCGAAATGACTGCATACTGGTAACGCAGGCAGGGGACAATTGACTTCCCCAATGACATACACATGTTAAATTCACCAGTCTAGGGCATGAAGTGGTAACTAGTGGTACTTACAGGTAATTAGTAAAATATCTAGTTCATCACCAGTTACTCGAACTACTGGGATCTTTGTGAAAAATATATAATTTTAATATAGTTACAAGTCTTTTAAAATCGACATGCCCACTAATTTTTTCTTGAGAAACATGATTGTTGTTAAAAAAACTCATTGACAAAATGCAACATTTTCCCCGAATAAATCAACTTAACTCGACGAAATTTTGCACAGAGATAGGTTGCAATATCATTGAAGATTATTCAAGGTATTTTTAATATTGGTTATAGGATTTTTTAGTTATTTGAAGTTATATACAACAGATGCGTGGATTGTTTAGGAATGTTTACCATATATAATTGTTGGTATAAATCTAGTTTAGGAGCGTGCTCCACTCTATGACATTCATGCCGACATTAGGAGCACTTACCCAACCGATATTTTTTCTGAAAGTCATATTTAGAGTGAAGCCCGCTACTAAACTCGATTTATTCCAAAAATTATATATGGAAAACATTATTAAACAATCCACGTACTTCTAGCTTTAATAGTCTCTAATAATCATTCCATTAATTGAATAGCTTACCCGTTTTGGCTTAGACTTATAATTTGTCGAAACCCATTTGTGTGTAGTTTTGAGGTTTTTTAAATATTCAAATGGCTGTTTTTGTTTCTTGGCTCCTTTTTCAGCTCCAACATTTTCTTCATTGTTATTGTTGTTCGTATTTTTCTGATTTAAAGATGCCTGTACATTTAAATCAGTTTCAACGTTGTCCAAGTCTATACATATAATATCAGTTTCTTTGGAAGATTTCAATTGTTGTTCTTCCATCCCAATATCTTCATTAAGAAGTACATCACATTTCACCTCTATGAAACAATCGTTTTCTTCGACACTCAAATTGCCACTCTCTGGGGCATGTTGATGGAAATTTTCTGGCGAAGTGTTCGCAGATTTGGATTTTGTTACTTTAGAAACATCCAAATCTATAACCGTGGGAGATAAAATAGATGAACTTGGTTTCATCGCTCCAGGATCTTCCAAGTCAATACACGGAATGTTGATTTCTGTATTTTGTGTTTTGGAATCTTCTAATAGCTTTTCCTCTGTCCTAATACCTTCATCAATAAGCTCACGCTTGATCTGTACGCCACAATCTTCATTGGCTTCGTTATCCATTTCTATATGTGTGTCTTCGATTTTAATGTCATCATCATTTTTGATATCAATTTTAAAGCCGCGATCTTGAACATCCAATACATTTGCATTCCTGGCGTCACATCGAAATGGCATTTCTTGAGGGTTTACCGAGATCGATGAATGAGATTCCATAGTTTTCGTTTACTCTATTCTACACTTCTTCATTGATCGCTTTCATTGGAATAACTGTTTTTTTTTTCTGTCATTCATTATTTAAAGCCCATGGCTTTTGCATTTAGATTCTATATATCTATGTACTTAAATTGTTTAAAATAATACTAAAGAAAGAATTTGAAAAACGAACATTTTAATATTTTTCGAAAATTATATTTCGTAGAAGACCCACCAACGAAAAATAAAAAGAAATGATTTTTCCATTTAATTTACAAAAGTACCGTTTTCAATTCTGTTGATGCCGTAGATATGTGACGCATAGTGTTGGTAAACGTGTAAAGATAAATGAAAAACATGGGCATGCCCTGTTCACACTTTGCAGTTGTAGACAATAGAGTTGTGTAGTTCCGGTACGACCGGAGTTTTGAACACTTTGACTTCCTCCCTCAAAACAGCAATAAAATATTTATATCAAGCTTGAAGTGTGTCATATGTATATTCATTGTAAAGGTTACATATCATGGTACAATTATAAAAGGTAACAGCAAATCCCAGCTGATTTGATTCCAACGTTATACTAGTGTCAATATGAATTTGACAAATTATGTTTTTAAAAATCACCCAACAGGAAAATTGGGAACGCATACAATTTAAAATTGTTCTTTATTAAATGTGCTCCTGTATTCAATTTACTCAATCTGCCTGCTGGGAAAGTTTGAGGAAGCAAATCTTTCTTCAAGGAATAACTCGCTATTCCCAGCATTTTCATATGTGTTACACATATATATGGCAATGGCTCAATTATAGGAAAGATGTGGAATAGATAGAAATATAAATTTGATAGATTTTCATTCATGTTTTTCAATTTTTATTTTGAGGATTCGAAAATATTTCATTTTCAAAATAAAAATAATTTGATGATAATTTGTTTGTTTATTTACATTTTTCTGTCAAATGAGTTGACACTAGTAGAACTTACAAAAACAAATTTCCATGAAGTTGTTGTATCGTTGTATACCATGGTTACATATGTACCTATAAGTTAAAATTTATAAGAAACCAAAAATTATAAAATAAACAATTTTATGAGGCTTGAAAGAAAAAAGTGCTCAAAGGTGCCCCCTCTCCCCTATGTAATTACATATCGTTTTGACGCATTGACATTTTCGTATGTTTCAGACAACGAGTTCGAGCTGCATATGTAAATAAAGTGACAGCACATACGCAAAATGCATATAGTGAAAAAACACCTTAAGGTGTATGCATGAATTACAACAACTAATTGTATTACAAAAACAAACGTTTCCACGACAGAGGGGTCTACGATCCGCAACGACCCGAGTATTTCTCGGCCAACGTATGTCGCCTCAGCCCATTGTGTGCAATAGGGCTGTTACAACAACAACAAAAACAACATTATTGTTATAGAAAATAAATTGTCAATGTCTGAAACCGAATAATAGGGTTGGTCATAGATTTTTTTCGAAAAATATATAAAAACTTTAAATAAATTACAAATTCATGTGACTTTTTGCTTACAAATAGATATTTGAGATTTAAAAATAAAAAAATAGTCCACTGTTTGCGAGATATTAATGTGTTGTACGTGTTGACATTCAGTTTCTGGAACGGTCTTATCGACACTAAGTTGTGTTAGTGTTCGAAAACTTATTATTACTAAGTCGATAAAGGTGTCTCAAAAATATAAAGTCTTATTGTGAATGAATATATTGGGCTATCGATGTTATGCATAACCCTTTTTCGTAAACAAACAATTCCTCTCGTTGTTTTGTTTTGAGTTTTATCAGCCATTTTTTTGTATCTCCCCATATTCGTAACATGTGAAAACTCGGATTATTTGGCTAAAGATTATTTAAAAATAATTATAATAGAAAAAAGTATTTTAAAGATGAGTAGAATAATAGAAATTATTGATTCCGATGACGATACGACGGCACCAACAAAAACATCTTCAAATTCGGCAAATGAAAACTCACCAGCGCAATCAAGAAGGCGACCTCGTAAAAGTGTCCTGCAAACAATTGATGATCCAGAAGTACAATTCCAAACAATAGCCGTGGAAGATGAGGATGGCGGAAATTCGCTTGAGGACAGTAGTGTATTGAAAAGCAATCCCATAGGAAGGTCAACAACACGATTGATACCAAAAACTACTCCAAAAATACTTGCACCGAAGCCACCATCAAACGCAGATGCTATTCAAGCAGCCTTTGACGAATATGTGAATAGGTCAGAGACTAAGGAATGCATGACAGCAATAGCACTGGAACGAGTTCGAGTTAACTACTTACTAAATTTGTTTGGAATGCCGGAAATAAATTTCTCGCTTTACACACAACCAGAAATCTTAAAGTTTCAATTCGAAGAACGATTGAAACAGCAGAAAATGATGCAGAATGTCGGCAATCGGGCAAGAAATCAATCGAAGCCCGAAACAACCTAAACGTGAAATAATTTAATTTTTCGTATTTAGTTTTAAATACATTTTGTATAAAATAAGCGGTGTGATTTATTCAATCTATATTTTGTACATAACTCCTTCAAATATTTTTTTCAGTTTTTTGGTATTGGCTGGACAGTTAAAATGTATGATGAAGATAAATGTATATTCAGATGACTACGACATTTATCACATGAGCGGTGGTAGATTGGGAAAATAAATGATTTAGTTATTATACATAACAAAATGTCTTTTTATGCTAACGTTGTGGGATACGCCTTTGTGGTATGCATTTTCGGAAGGAGCATAGGAAATGATTCTAGACAAATATTAGTCAAAAATTTGCAATCCTTTTGGTAATGCCACAGTGGCCTATCTTATATTCAATATGGAAAATTGGTTAGGTCGATGAGGGTATTTGGTATGCTTTTAACCAATATTTTTCAGATGCTGTAAACTAGACATCTGCATGAATGCACAAAAACACCACCCATGAGTCACTCACACAAAGTAATGGCTTCTATTCTATAAATTTGTTTGAAATGAAGTGCAATGAGTGAGGTTACAACAAACATGAATTGCTTCAGGTATGATAGTTTCGAATTTGTTGTATATTCGTTTGATTCATACAATCCACGTTTCAGACTCGACGAACCGGTATTCATTGTGTATGTTTACTTCGGTATGAATGTATGTTGTAACACACAAAGTTTGAACAAATGCGGCAAGTTCGTACACGAACATGTTTTACACAATGAGTGTGTCGAATTATACAGTAATATTCGAATTACCCGAATTAATTGAAGATATATTATGCTTTTTATACAATCCACAAAAGTATGAAGGGTATGTTATGTTTTTTTTTTTCGTTTGTAACTCATCGAAATAGTCATTTCCGCCTATATAAAGTATATATATTCTTAATAAGAGCAACATTTATGAATATCTAGTAATGTATCCACTATATAGCGCTACTTCTCTTTTTCAATATTTAGATGTTTTTAAACGCACTTTTAAACATATAAAAATTCGTTTTAATTTGGGTTCGAATTGGATACCCCATAGTGTGGGGGATATTCAGTACTACAAGTTGTCAGTTTATAACCTATAATATGTTAAGACGATTTACTCATTATTAGTTAGTCCGTATGTACTTCTGTTGTAATATTACTACGTTCGGGGGGTGTTGAGATACAAAACTAAACCGTTACGATCCAAAATGGCCTTTTTCAGTCCACATTTAAGTATATCCTCCCGAGAAGTAATCAATATTGGCCCCTTTATATGCAAAGCCAATTTTTTATACTCTTCACCACACTGTGGTACAGGGGTCTACAGGTCTTTGTGCATATGTTTGTAACAGGCAAAAGGAAACTAGATAGACACATGGTTCCTTTTTAGTATATGCATAGAATCACTTTCTAAGTCGATTTATGCATGTCCGTCCGTCTGTCCATGTCAAATTGTAAACAAAGTACAGGTCACATTTATGATCCCAATTGGATGAAATTTGGCATAGGTCACTTATTTGGCCCAAGGACGAACTCTATTGAAATTGGGAAAAATCGGTCTAGGATGATGTGTATTAAGTTTCGTGAAAATCGGTTCAGATTTAGATATAGCTCTCATATATCTTTTCGTCCGATTTTATGTAAATGGTGTGCCAAAGTCCCTATATATCTTTCGATTTGCACCAAATTTGGCATAGCATACTGAATTAGGTATAGAATGATGTGTGTTAAGTTTCCTGAAAATCGGTTCAGATTTAGATATAGCCCCCATATATAAGTAAATGATGCACCAAGATCTCAAAATGTGGCCGATATGCACAAAACATACTGAAATTAGTGTAACTTAACTTGTGACATGTTTCGATGAAATCGGTTTAGATTTCGATATAGCTTTTATATATATATATATATATATATATATTTAAATAAATATATTTATCTCTTTTCTTATTGTTATTTTGTATTGATGAGTCAAAATTGGGGTCAAAATTTTTGTTGATATAATTCGAATCTACACTGATTAAAGAATGTCTCTACAAAATTTCAAGTGAAAATCTCAAGAACTCTTGAAGATATATCCGATTTATTGTGTTAGCATTAAGTGACGGCTAAAGGGCTTCTCAAACTTTAAACGCGTTTTTCTCTAAACATTTTTTTACGAATGGCGGGCACGATAACTCAAAAACTAATAATCCAATCGGTTCCAAATTTTGCAACGTTTCTCTGGGAGTGTATAGCTCTCGTATGAACTAGGATAAAGCAAATCGGTGAAGATCTTCCTTATTTTTTAACTTGGTTTTTGGTAAAAAATCGTCGATTTTCCAAAAATATTTTTTCAAAGGTCCACCATTTTGTTAATTTTAGAGCGAAGTCAATAATCCTAGTTCATACGAGAGCCAGACATGTACTCTTTCTAACACCGTTGAAATTTTCGGATTCCGATGATCCAGTGAGGAGTTATCATGCCCGCCATCAAATATAAGGACTTTTCTTTAATTACAAAAAACAATAACAACAATTTTTTATAAATTATTTTTCTTCTCTTTTAAATCTTCAAATATATTTGAGCAAAGTTACAAACCTTAACAAGCATTGGTATTGATTTCCCAGCCCATTGAAAATCTTGAAAAATTAAAATCGAAAATGGGTGGATTGGACATGATTTTCAGCCGAATTGTCTGTAGTTTGGTATTTTAGGTACTTATGGGGTAGCACACCTTCCAAAAAAAATATCAATATTGGTCTACTTTTTAGTGTACGGCCCAATATTCCAAATTTTGGAAGGTTTGGGTACGTTTTTCAAACTACTGTAATTTTATATTTTGGACTCTAAATTATCAATATTGGTCCAAGTTTTGGAGTTCCCCCATATTACGTTACCCCATTTTTCGGTATTTTGGATACGTTTTTCAATCGAGTAGGTTCTAATTTGTTATTTTGGGTTCTCATTGGGTGTCCAATACTTTTTTTACAAAAAATTATCGTTATCTGTCCGCGATATGATGTAGACCCCACAAAACTGTACACCAAATTTTTGACATTTTGAGGATTACGGTATGTACAGGGTCTTAGCCCAAATTTCCAATAGCCTGTATTTTTTATATTTCTCTAGGTAGTTATTTACCATGGCATAAAACCCATATAAAAATACCGATCAATTTAAAAATTTGACTGTTCACCTCACGGCGGTGAGTATAAAAAGGTCGGCCCTGTCGAACTTAAGGACGTTTTACTTATTTGTATTCATATTTTTAAATAAACAATCTCTACTCTACTTAATAATATTAGCATATAAAAAATTAACAAAAGTACACATTTATTACAGAAATTAAGAAATGTAATGAGAGATAATTTGTAGATAATTTGTAAGAAAATGACCTAAGGCCACGAAAACATGAAAAACAAATGAAAAGTCTTTAAGTCCCAAAAAGGTGTGTATGTATTTCCGCAAATACTTATTTGTACTCCTCATATAACTTTGTACTCTAATTTGCAATATTTGGGAAAATTTTCTGCCTAGGCCTATTTTTGCATATCCCTTAAAGAAGATTCCGACGTTTTTTCTTACGTAATTTCATTCAACTTTTACTTATTTTTCTAGAGTTTTCAATTAGTGTATTTAATAGAAAAAAATAAGACATTATTTCTCACTATTACTCACTGATAAAGTTTTAAAGAGTGTACAAGGTAAACATTTGCATGCATGTACCTGTACAATGAATGCCCACCATTAATGTTAAGTCGTTGAATGAAAACAGAGAATACAAAATACAATGCATGATGTTCACTCATTGGACTCATTGATGTTGTATAACTTGTTCTTGTAATCCATCATACTGCATGTTGTGCTTTCGAGTTTGATCGTTTGATCGGACAAAGCACAACGAAGAACAACACAACTTCGGTGGTTGAATTCATTTGCACTCATTCAATGTTGTTGTGTACTCTGAATACGACTTAACACCCATGAATGTGGATGGGCATTCATTGTACGAGTACATTCTTGCAGATGTCTACTGTAAACCGTCAAGTACGCGCCCGATGATCTTTGTTGATTGGTTCAAATATATTTTGGAAGAAAGATCATGAAATGAAACAATATTCGAAGACGAGCTCATTCATGTTGTTCATGGACGAAGCACCCCGAGGTAAATAGTTGGATGTTTCATCGGCATGCGGCGGCTATTCCGCTTGAGCAATATAGGAATTCTGAGTGATACACAATTGTTACATGTATGTTATACGTTTGTCAGGCCTCGAAATTTTGGTCCTAGAACTTTTAGTATACCGATCGTCATATCTCGACTAGCTCATCGCCTGTCCATTAAAGTGCAGGCTACACTACATCTAAAGCCAATAGTCTGGTTTTAGATGACACCCATTGTTTATTGTTTATCAAATGGACCATAAACTTTTTTTTCAATTTTTCGCATCGCTCAAGAGGCCATAATTATATTCCCAACATCATGAAAATTTAAACGGGGTAGTGGATCCGCCATACAATTAAATATGACTGTTGTTATGATGATCGGTAAATATTTAGCGACTTAAATGAACCAAAACTTTTGTTTGAAAATTGACAACATTTGCACATTAAATCATATGCATTTAGTCCGGAAGAACATAATCAGTTATGTTCCCATAGCAGGGACGTACGCAGGGGGGCGGCCCGGGAGGCCCGGGCCCGAAATGAATTTTTTTCACAGTAAATATATGCTTCCAACAGCGAATTTTTTCATTTTGTACTACCGGGCCCCCCCGAAATGAAATCCTGTGTACGTTGCTGTCCCATAGTATCTAGAATAATTAATATTTACAGGGGTCTAAACATAATCGCACTTTTAAGTATTCCACCAATCGTTACGAAATATTGCATGTTCTGGTTGAAGTTTTATTATTTCATGCAGTTAATTCATTTAGCCCTAGGACGAACCCTAAATTGGTGAAAATAAATTAAGATACAGTTCACATATATAGTTTCGTACGATTTTA